CGGCAACCCCCTCGCGGCGGCCCACGGAATTAAAGATCCCGAGATAAGGGTGTCATCCTTCGCTATGCATTATGTGTTCGGCAAAAAGCTCGACCCCCCCGGGCCATCGCCTCTTCGCTCGCCCGTCTCTCCTTCTCGCCCGGTTTCGCGCTTCTTTCAACCCCCTATCCTCTCCCTGCCTCCTCTCAATTTCCTCTCCGCCCGTGCTTCTTCCTTTCTCTTACCACTTCGTTCACCCTCCTCCATCTCCATCTCCTCCTCCTCCTCCTCCTTCTCCCCCTTCCTCCTACAGACTACTCCTCTTCGTTGACTCTGTTTCACCCCGAAGAAGGTTCCAATTAATCTCCCTCGTACTTTTTCCACCCCCTTGGCCGCGCAGGATGCCACGCGTGGCGAAAGTATTCGCGTCGTGTATCGGATCGCTTTGTTCCGACACGAACATTCTGCTCTTCTCTTCGTAGTACGAACCACGTGTGTCCATGTGTCCAATGGCGAGGTAAACGGGTAAGTTGTCTTATATGTACTTATTAATATTATAATTGCACGATCGATAACCGATAACCTTCCTAATCCTGCCATCATATGTGATTCAAGGGAGCGCGTTGAAACTCGCGTGGGGATACGCGTGCATCGCCTGTGACGGCGATCAAAGTGTCACGTACAGTGGCGGGGTTAAAGGAGAGAGAGAGAGAGAAATAGAGGGTCGAGGGCTAGGTGAAAAGGTGGCGAGGGAGTGTGGGGGGTTCCTTTTGAAACGAGCGTGTAAAGTAACTCACGGAGGCAACGGGGTGCACGGGAGCGCGGCGTGTTATGATCCGGACATCCTTTTTCGGTTCGGAGGCGAATAGAAGTTCGAGCGGCGTACGCGCTCGTATTTCAGGTTTTATCGCTCGAAAACGCGGAGGGTGGGCCGGCCTCGTCGTGCTCGACAAACCGTGCCACCGAAAAGCGACGTAAAAACGATTCGAAGGAGACGATCCGCGACGGTCTCCTCTTCAAACTCCATAAACTTGGAGTATCGATTTTTTTAAAAATAAACATCTTACGCGTTTGCCCGATCGCTCGGCAACATTTCGAATTTTATTCCATCATTTCGAATCCGTACGATTTCGTTTCGTCCGTGAAATTAGAAAGGAAGGAAAAGTGGAGGAAAGAAAGGGAAAATCGAACGGTGGGAAAATTGAAGGGTGACCAGAGTGGAATAACGAGGTAATATCAGATCGAAGGGGGGAGGGAGGGAGTGGGGGGAAGCGGAGGCGGAAGGATGACGCGCGTAACCGTCGTTGGTCGAAATCGGAGTCGCTTTATCCCGGTGTATTGTCGGCGCGCATCCTAAAGCAATCACACAGGCGAGCGGCCAACCCACCATTACACGATATACTGCCTTAACTTTGGACGGAGAAGCGACGTTGGCGTCGGCCTGCCTCGCGCCGCATCGCGAACGTTACGTATAGGGTGTACCGAAGGAAATAACCGTCATCTGTATTCGCGATAACATCGTAATTGAATGCGGTTGACGGGGATTTGCTGTACGGCGACCGACCACCAGGCCCATAACCGTTCCCTTTTACCTCGGCTACCCTCCTTCGTCCTTCCCTTTTTTTTTTCCCACCCTCCCGACCGCACACTTCTCTCTCTCTCTCTCTCCCTCTCTCCCTCTCCCTCTCTCCCTCTCTGCCTCTTTTTCTCACTCTCTCCTTCCCCTCTCTCCGCCACTCTTCCCTGACTTCTTTCTTCGTTCCAGTTTACCTTCCACTTTTCCACCCCTCTCCTCCTTTCTCCCATCTTCGTCCTTCTCCACCACCCACCCACCCTTCTCCATCTCGAAAGGATATTAATCATATCGAGGCGCGGAAAAATCTACAGGCCG